TCAAACCGTCCGAAACCATCACTGGCGATCATTATCGGCTACAACTGATACGTTTAAACCAAACTTTGAAAGAAAAACGACCGGAATGGGACAATAGGCACAACAAGCTGATTCTGTTACATGACAACGCTAGGCCACACGTTGCAAAACCGGTCAAGAAATACTTGGAAGGAGTAAAGTGGGAAATTCTGCCCAACCCGCCGTATTCACCGGACATTGCCCCTTCAGATTTTCATTTGTTCCGATCCATGCGGTCCTTTCTGGAGAACGATTCAATTCTTATGAAGGTACCAAAAAATGGCTTGATGAATGGATCGCTTCAAAAGAACCAGATTTTTTCATTCGAGGAATCCGTTTATTACCGGAAAGGTGGGAAAAAGTTGTCGCTTCCGAAGGAGCATACTTTGAATAAACTCACTTATATAGATTTGTTTAAATAAACACCTCTTTTTAAAAAGGGCGGAAACTTATTCCCATACCCAATATATCTCGGCTTCGACTAGAGATCTCTATAGTCTCTCTCCTGTCGATAATAGTACGCCGTATTGATACGATACAGGTTATGTATCATAATGTACCTGAACAATATGCAGTATAGACTTTTGTGTCGTTGAAAATTTTCAACACAAATGTCCTAGGGATGTCTATGGGACATTCAGAAGACGTCCGTATATACTAACAAAAGTGAAACTCCTCGTGCGATCTTAAAAAAATTTTCACTTGCCAAGTCAGCGAAAATACGTCGTGAACAGATTTAGAAAATTTTTTGCATGAGATGAACATTTTTAAAATGTTCAAATGTGAACATATTTTGTACGTTGCGTAAAATATTTGTACTATATAATTAATAAATAGTAATAAGGCTCTGTAAGTATAAAACAATATAGTACAAAAGAAGGGCAAATAGCCAGTAATGTAGCAAAGAATTTTAATTTAAATTAACATTAAAAATTCATATAACAATTACAATTGACAAAAACAAACGTTTCGACTCCGATCGAGTCATTTTCAACGTAGTCATAATATTTAAACATCGCTCTAAATCAAAAATATATACATAGTATTACAATACTATTATAATTTTTAATCCCGTATTCTTCATTCCGTTTAGTACGCTACGAATAATTATTATCAAAAATCAAAGTAGTCATAAAACAATATTCTTGTCAGTAATATCAGTAAATGTGTTGAGTGACTATTAATAAAAGGAGAAAAAAAACGCAAATAGATAGTAGTCCATATCATAGTACAATATATTGATTTTTTTATTTCAAGTAAATTTGCAAAAGTAACGAACATCTAACTTTCACGTCAAATAACGAAATGTCGAGAAGAAAAACATTTATCGAAAACGGAAAAACGGCAAAACATGTATTTGTACTATAAGTCCATTGATGTTCGGACTAAATAAAAACCAAATTTGGACGTCCAATGGACGTTGTGTGTTATCTGGGTTGATAGTAAATGCAGTAATGACATTAATATTGATAAAGATTAATTTAAAAATTTTGTGCACTCTCTATTGAACCGAAGAATAGCTAAACGTATACGCATGAGGTCACAAAGCATAAAGAAGGTGACTATAGTAGAAAGAAATAAGGTGAGCCATTGCGCATAATTGACATAACTTGTCAATCAATCATAGAGGACTTATTTTATACGCGCAGATTTCAAGCGTTCACAGATGATTACTAATAAAAACACAGTATTAAAACAGAAGTTAAAATAACAGTGATATATTAATAAAAACTATTAAAATATAAAAATATTAGAAACTTTAACATTATTATTAAACAGAAATGAGATGCACATTTTTTTATTTTTTATACGAATGTGTCAAAAAACTGCCATCAAAGAGTAATAAACACAGCCACATTGAATTTTCATAAAATGGGTCCCTCATTGGCTGTTCGTTCCTCACTACTTTTAGGCTACTGCGCATTCACGGGAATAACTCACCTTGTTTCTTTCCATCATGAAGGTGATCGCAGGGCATGCTCACATCGCTGTGTTACATGTCTGTGTCTAAAACTCTATATATACCAAAGTAGCGCAAAGATTCTCCATTTGAATTTACTACGATATAACCATATATCAATACTAAGCGCTTATTGGACTACAGACAATTAAGACGCAAATGGCGGTCAAAATAGTCAATAGAAAGGTTGTACTGAGCATTTTGGCTCAGATCAAAGAATTTTACTACTTTGATATACAGGAAAACTTCCGTAACTTCTATTATGCGGGGCTGTAAGAAGTTAAAGAAGTTCTCCCCATTTTTGCATTAGGGGCGGACCGGATTAAAAAGAAATAGCATGTATTACATATAGTGAGAACGTTTGCACAGATGCCAACACAACCTATTTTAACACTGAAAATTTTTATACACGACGTTATATACATATTTGGAAGCGGAAATGAAAGAAATTACAGAGCACTGAAATTAGGTAAATTTCACTGCATCTAGAGCTGTGACAGATTTCCTAACCTCAATAGTCATCAACTTTAACACTTAATATTTCGGTCCGCGGGGCAGTGACGTTTATTTCTGCCAGATTTTTTCATTTCATGCAAAAATGCGTCGAATAAGCCCAATTTCATTAATTTTTGAAGTGATTGGGCTAAATTGTTCCAGCAAACAAGAAATTATTGAAAAATGTTGAAAATTGTTCATTGAAGTGTTGAATCAAGTTTTGAATTTTTTAAACTATTTTGTCTCCGTAATCCGCTTGAATCAGTAATTATTAATTGATTATTTATTTTCTGTATCTCACCCAATAACCAATCCGGTTAAATCCGTAATTATGTATTGGTAATTTGCTTTTGGTATTTTACCCAATATTCAACGCAATAAATGTGCGACTAATTCGTTTGAATTTAACAAGCAATATTGAAAAACTATCTAATATAGTCTCACCAACTGCTAGCACCGATTTCGGCAAGTATCGTTGAAAAACATGCATGATATAACATAAGTTGTTGCCTCCCAAACAAAAATTCCGATGTGATATACAAAGTGTATAATATTGCGGATTCACGACAACAAGGTAATTTCCAGACATAACTCTGACTACAGTGCCAGTGCAGTTATATCCGAGAGTCACTCGGTTGCCATGAATCTGTAATGTCGTATAGTCTGTGTAAAGTACTAGGGCTCATTCGAAAAGAAACGATTCATATATCTGTGATCCTTGGTGCATGCTTTCCAACAATAAATTACTTTCTAGGATTGTAGATTAGCATTTCATTTCTGAATCTATATGAATCCACTAGAGTTAAATTCATATTATTATATTTATTTAGATGTAAAAAAGGATTCAGTGTATTCAGTCTCTACAAAATTCAATATCTTTTTCGTGGATAACACGAATTCGAAGACTTGATTCATATGAATTTGTTCAATCCGTTGTCAATCCATTTGCTGGGATATAATTATCAGAAATTACTAGAAATTACCCAGTGAACACACATTACATGTAACGTTAATTGTAATTTTCCACTCAATAATATAATTGTAATATAACACGTGTTATATAACATAATATAACATAACACGTGTTATATTACGGTATTATTAAGTGGGAAATTACAATTAACAGATACGTTACATGTAACTTTGTGTTCACTAGATAGAATTTCTATTGAATATTATTTGAATTATATGAATATTATTTTTTTACAAAATGTATATACAAGTATAACGAAAATAAAACTTTTCCATTAGTGTCTTTTTCACAATTATTATCATTTGATCCTGTTGGAAAGAATCTGGCAACGATAGAATTGAACAGAATCATTACTAGTTCAGTAGAAATTCAGATTTCTGTATTATCTGTTCGCCTAAGTGGTGCAGAAATACGATTTGACTTTTCATAGTGTGTCCATACTCTGGATTGCACTCTGAAAATTTTTGCGTGTTTTAAAACCATCGGAAAAAAAGTACAACAAAAAGTTACAATGTACAAAAGTTACAATAAAGTAACAACTTTAATGTCTATGACTGTACATACGCTTCACTAGAGATCCTATAATGCCTGTTTTATAATAGGGTCGCAAGTTGTAATCCGTAAGAAATTAATCAATCATAATCGATTATTTTTTTCATATTCAACTGTGATTGACCAATTTCTTACGGCTTACTTGCGATCCTATCGAGAACAGGCATAATAGGATCTCTACGTTTCACTCAGTTGTTGCCGCTGAACTAAATTCGGTTGCTTAGCATAAGATAGCGACTCATACGCATATTCAAAGTCACGACCGCGGTACGTTCAGATATTTGAATATATAAGTATTTGACACTTTGCCCTCTCCTTCCACTTTACTCTTTCGTCCCTAATAAAGTTGAAATAATAAACTTAACGTGTGCAAAATTCTAGAATAGGTTAATGACAAAATGAAACAGGAAAAAATGTTGAAAATATAACTTTTAACATATAACTTACACACGTATAACTTAGTGACAGGTAAGAATTGGAAACGATTGGATTTTTTTTGCCTAACTGCACACATCAAATATTACCATAGACTTCTCTAAGGAACATGATTATGATAGTTTAAAAACTTATAATTGTAAGGATCACAAAAAATAATAGGTCAACATCCATTCTGGAAAGATATTTATGTGCTTAAACTTGCATATAAATTTAATCACGAAAAGTAAACTCTCTTGTTTTCCTTTAGTGAAGATGTAGCTCTTGATTTACTATTGTTTGTTTCATATCATAGCATTGTCTTTCATTAAAATACATGCAACTTTGATATTTTATCCAAATTGTACAAATATTTACGATTTTGGGTGGGTCCAGTGATGAGGTAAATTTTCGGCATTTTACTAAAAAACCATCTTGACTAGCTTTGAGACGGTTGCATAAGTTTTTTATATTAAATGAACTGTTTTATTATTTTAATTACGTCCACACGTTTCCTTTGCAAACAATTCTGTATGTCTTAGAGCTTATATTGATTCGATTCGCTTATATTTGTCGTTTGTTACATACTTCTTTTTCTTTTGTCATTGCTTGTAGATCCGTTGCAAGCTCAACAGCATTTTCAACAATCTGCATAAATAAAAAGAAATTTTATTATTCATGTATAGCAACAAGATTCTTAAAGAGAGAAACAAGAATCACATACTTTTTTACCTATCTCTCTTTCTTTATGAACTGTCTTAAATCTGTCAATGAGAGACAAATACTGTTCATATAAAAGAGACGTTTCCGAATCTCCTAGATACTCGGACGGAATTTCAACCTAATAAAAATAGTACTTTTCTTCAGGAGAATTTATGTTAATTTATTAACTAACCTATTTTTCTAGTAATTATGTAATAACATGGACACAACACATAAATATGCGAAAAATATCCATAAGATATTCTTTAAAAATTTTGGGATATCCATCAAATTTTCGTTTTATATAATCCTTCAATGGATATACGTAATATATCCGTTTATGAAATTAATAAACATGATTTAATCTCTATACGTCTCTATCAGTGTGAATATCTGATGGAATAAATGAACAATGATGAATATATAATTGGACTTCATATAAACGTGAAATGAATGTTTTAAAAGAGCGGAATTGTAATTTACATTAAATAACATTGGATATTAGTTATACAGGATGATCCGAAACAATCCAGGTGTCCCTGAAGAGACATATTCCTGACCCAATTCTAACAAGGAGAGGCTCAGACGTTCGGGATTTAGAAAAATTTGAAACTTATGATACGTGAAGTAAGATGCGCTTCTCATTGTTGAGAAAATCGACTTTAAAAAATTAGGAATATGTATACTAAACATTGAGCAAGTACTGGCCATAAGGATTTCGTCAAATTTCTTCAAGCGAGAGACCAGTATGAGTTATCTCACTCTTCCACCAATAGCGGTGTGTATACATCATGCATACAACCGGTCTCAGAAAGATTGCACTTTTTTTTCGATGGATTTCGGAATGCAGCTTGCTCACCGAGCGATTGGTTCTTATTCATGGATCCATAAATCTATAATCTCTAATCTCCTTTTTCGCTTGAAGAAATTTGACGAAATCCTTATGGCCAGACTCTGATTAAAGAGTCTCTAGTTTCAACGAATCCCATAGCGTAATGTGTAGCGCTCTTGTATAGTAACTGCTAGAGTGGGTATAAAGAGAGTTGCGCCAATGTATGTGCTTAATGCTGATTGGCTCCGCCAAGTTACGGTGCCTTCTTTCTAACTAACATTAAGTATCTTTACTGTTAGTTAGAAAGAAGATATCGTTAAAGAAAGAAGTGATTAAGACGAGAAATTGCGTCATATAGATATCCCAGATATAGGACACAAAATGATGACTTCCAACGTCTCTAGCATTTCTCTCTTTATACCCACTCTAATAACTGCTGGTTCGAGTCTCTGTCGGCACTTCCTTTTTTCCCTTTTTTTTAATTGTAATAATTTGTTATTTCTATATAAAATCAATCACATTTATAGAAATCAATGGATATTCAATATAAATATTTTCTAAAAAACGCAGATTTCATTTACAACGTAACGAAAATATGTGATAAATAAAATCCAATACAACAAGAGCGGGCAAACATTGAACAAGTTTTTTTTACGTTAGAGTTTTTTTTGTGTATACTCGTTACGTTAATTTCATTTTTTGTCACTATTCCAAATTTCTCTTGTGTTCCCTGAATTGAATATTTTGAATTTTGTGTTCCTGATTACATTTAAAAATATATAAAAATTTCAAGTTAAATTATAAAATTAAGCAAAAAATGAAATTAACATAATAAGAGCACACAAAAAATTAAACCTAACGCAAAAAAAAACGTGTTTAATGTTTATCCACTTTCATTTTATTGGATTTTATTTATAATGTTTCCGTTGCGTTATAAATGAAATGTGCGTTTTTCATAAAAGATTTATACTGAATATTCATTAATTACCATAAATTTGATTGATTTTACATAAAAATAACAAATATTCAAACAAAAAAGAGAAGGGAAAAAAAGTGCCAACAGAGACTCAAACCAGCAATTCAGCGGTTACTAGACAAGAGTGCGCCTCAGAATTCGTTAAATTTGCTTAACGTTCAGTGTACATATCCTGCGGAATTTTTTAAATCGATTTTCTCGACAATAATTGAGAAGCACATCTTACTGCTTGATCAAAGTAATGTCTGGGTGATACATTTCACGTGCCAAAGTTTCAAATTTTTCAAAATTCCGAACATCTGAGCCTTTCTCTGAACTTGTAAGATTTTTTACTTTTTACTTCACGAAAATTTTGTCTAAAACTTAGTTTTCAAAGTATAAGAAGAAATATTTAGGGTACGGATCACATAGAGGAGACGAACAGGAGCGGCGTTCATGATTAGATACGGGCACTTTACACACCAGAGGCACACTGATCAGACGCATTCACATGTTTATAAAACATGTTCCTTATCTTTCCCATCTATCATACTATCTCTTTGTCTTTCACATGCTTTAAATATACTAATTTAAATATACTCGTTAAATTATAAATTAGAATAATGAAATTAAAATGGATATTGAACTCTTTGCGTATCGAATTGTTTTTACATGGACAAAATTGTTAGAGAAATGTCCTAAAAGACAGAAATTAGAGCGAAATTAGACAATAATTATGTGCGATATAAACATTATAAAATTATTATTGACATACAAATCAAATTATTTCAGTACGTCGAATTCTAAGAGCATTTCTTACAATTCAATGTCCTGAAGTACTTGTTAAATTTAATTATATGTCGTTATAATACTTGTAGCAATTATTGTCAAATTTCTCACTTTTACAAAAATTTTTTTTAACAATTTTATCTACTCTATCGCGCTCGTAGCATTTATTACATATTTATGAGAAGTTTTATGAGAAACGCAATCGCGCTTCTTAGCACTTAAAGAATATTTAAAACAAAAACGTAATAATAATACACTTTAAAAGCTTATTATTATCATCTTAATAATAAAATTGTTATTACCTTCCCAATCAGCAGACAATATTTTTGAAAATATTTTTAAAAATATTTCAAGAACATTTTTAAAAACGTTTTTAAAAACGTTAAAAATAATGGATTAAGTCCCTTTTTTTAATTAACAAAAACATTTATTGTAATGTTTGAAGAAACATTTTTTTAACGTTTGAAAAATATTTATTTAACGTTTGAAGAAACATTTTTTAACATTAAAAATACGTTTAAATTATTTGAACAAAATTAGAAAAAAATAACAAAAAAATAACATGTAGAATTTTTTTTATTTAATTTCTTTATCGACAGTATTTAAACATTAGAAACAACTAATTTTATTAATTAATTCTAATTTTTAATTATATTTTAATTTTTTTCATTTATCAGTCGGGTTTTGAATTTGGGATCTCAGAGTTATGAATTTCATACCTTATCCGTCACGCTTATATAAGTATCGACGGACACAATTTTTCTTGTTCATATATGGTACATTTAACGCAATTATATTGTGTTAACTTCTCTTCCGTGATTATTTTATTATCCGACCAGTTTTTTATTAATTTGGACTTTAGAAAATAATATTTTTTACATATTTATAATAAGTCAGATAAATGTTAAGTAAATGTTTTTTAAATTATATTTTAAATAAATAAATAACAAAAAACAAATATTTATTAAACGTCATATAAACGTTTAAAAAACATTTAACAAACATTTAAAAAACATTGTCTGCTGATTGAATTGTAGATGTTCAATGATTCCATTTTGCTCTAGCTTCTTGAAACAATTGGAGGATTAAGTTTGGATGAATAGTGCTCGACACAACTTATTTACTGTAATTCACTTTTATCACATTTACTGTAATTCACTCAAATATTAAATGTCTTTTAAGTACATATAGATATCAAGTCACACGTTTCTACTGGTGAAATTAAACACTTATGGGAATTAATTATAAAGGAATTTTAATCTTGTTATAATAGGAGATTGTAATGTCAAACGTAGAAAGATTAATAATAGAAGTCAAAAGATGATACCTAATCGGGTATCAGATATTTTAGATATTGGATATCTAAAACCGCAAGTGAGATCGGCGATGGAGTATTTTCAAGCTAACAATAAAATCGGTCCACGCTTAGGATCAATTGATTGATATTCAAAAAACAAATTTTCTCTTTTCGGCTGATCAAATTTCTTCCACTGTCATTTTATAAAAAAAGCAGAAGAGGAATCATTACTTTTCGTTCCTGTTCGTTTTCGTTTTATCTCACTCCTCTCTCTTTTTGACTTCTGTGATGTATAGATTATTTTAAATTTTTAAGAAAAATTTAGAGAAAATTTATGCTTTTTTTATTTTTTTCATCTGCGCGCGCAGAATAATTTTATTACGTAGCGTCAGAGAAGGAGACGATGTCGATCGATGACGGTACTATCGAAAATCTGTTTCATTCAAGTCTCGTCGTCCGTAACTTCAGCTTCGCGAGCAAACAAGTACTGTGCTTCTTGTATTTTTGCCATCTTGGTTCACTTGAATTTTGATATTACTGCAGTGTAAGAAAAATGGCCAATCCAAAAGATACTAATAATTCGGACATGGGAATGTACTCCATCTCTGATTTTTTCAAGATACGTAACGACGACAGAAAAAACGCTCGATTTCGTGTGTTGTTAGCAACAACGGTCTTAACAATTTATGGTCTTAACAATTTCCACGAAGACAATTCATTTACAAAGAACGAATGAAGGAATCTTCAAACCTCTTGTAAAATTGAGCGGACACAACGCGGACGGAATTTATTTCAACACCGACTGCTGGCAATAATTTCAAAATCACATGAGACTCATGAACGAGTATTTAAGCAGCGATGTTAACAGAGTGAAACGTAACTTTGTTGTCATAAAAAATATCACCATCAGCTTTACCATATTTTACAGGGCAAAATCAATATTGCTAGAGTATAAAGAAGAGAAAAATTCCAACGGAAATTTTCGAAAGAAGAAGACGCACACGATTCAACTCCATCGGCGAAAAAATGAAGAATCTACGCAGTGGCAATTGTAATGCAGAAAACTATCTTCTTCGGCAAAGAATTATAAAATGCGTCGATGCGCGTTTAAAACAATTAGAATCTTATCTGATAATGTTAACAAATGTACGTTAAATTCAAGAAATCGAATTGAAACTACCTGCAAGTTTTATTAATCAGGAAATTACAATATAAAATTAACATTGCGACGTAATTACGGAAATATATAAGGTGCATCACCAAAAT